GGTCAGCTCTATCATCAATCCTCCACTCTTCTGGCGTGAAGACGTATCTCGATTTCCAGATGAGCCACAGAAAGCATGGATTCGCAGGTAGAACAGGGTCCACGTGTAAATTGAGGTGCGCCTTTATGTCCGAGGAAATGACATATCAGGCCTTCACTCCTTGTCTTTCCGTTGGTCGTGATCGTACCAATATAAAACGCCTTCAATTGCACGTGATACTGTGCAACACAGCGAAGTTTAAATAGTTGTATTCTTAGGCTGGAACCTAACTTAAGTACATTGCTCCACCATAATCGCACTAATAGCGTGGTGTGCTTTACAATTGGAAGTATTTAAGCAAAAAGGAACTATTTTACATGCAAACCCTATGCATATCGTTCGTTTTTGAATAAATACGTCCAATAGATAATTTGCAAGTGTCTTAAATTTTGTAAATTTCATCTCTAAAATGATACTGCTCGGAAAACTGAGTACGAGAATATCCTTGGTTTCTGAATTGGACAATTATTGGAGAAAATATGGCACAATAACATAATCTGCTAAAATACACGTATTTAAATGGAAATTGCCGCCAGATGACGTCATAAGATGGAACATTTTCTCAATTTTGAATCCATTTTGCTCCAATTTCCCATCTCAGAAAAGAATTATGAAAAATACTCCGAACTCATAGCTCATTAGGCGCTCTCAGACAAAGCAATACATTTTTTGTGTGCAAATCCATGGGGCTATTCATCATTACGATAACGTTGCCGTATTAGTAAGGTCTCCTGACAACGCCAATGAGATAAGAACGCCAGGTTTTTAAAAATTTTAAATTTCGGCAGCACAAAATTCATCACATCTATCTGCAGTGTGCCAAATCTACGTTCAATTTTTCAATCTACAGTTACACCGTTTGGAAATGTGATAACTCATACTGTCGTGCAAGGGAAGAACACCGTATGAGCATTCAGGCGTTGCCATATTTATTTCACAAAAAATTGAATTTACTGAGAAAATCATGAATATTTTTCTTCTAATTTTTCAGAAAGTTTGGTTCGCAATTTAATCTAAATTACCTGAAAATGTAATGGAAAAATATACAGAACTCTTAAAAAATGCATTATCTATTCGGTTTAGCAACGCTTAAATGTTCATGAGGCGTTCTTCCTTAGCGCGACAGCATAGTCCCAAAAAGCAATCTTTGACTTAATACAAAACGATTTGATTGTCGAACGATGAACAAAAAAATCGACTTGAGAATCAACTGTTTGCATATGCATCTGAACGAACCGTGAGATCGTAAGATTTTGCTTCGGCTCCCAATGGATCAAGTCAATAGGAGAGGTCGGACAAAATTTCGAAACTTTAAGAGCTTATAAATCCGTTTATACAAATTTCTGAGGCTCTAAAAACGAGTTTCATTCGTTTCCTCGTAATAAAAAAGTACCCCTTAAATTTATAATGTGACGAAATTAACATCAAAATTTGCAATTTTAGTACAAAATTGTATGTTCGACTGCTCTGATTGACTCGATCATCTGTGCGGCTTGAGAATTCGAGAAATGAAAAAGATTCAATTTTGATCAGAGATGAAAAAACATAAAGAGAAAAAGAAAGAAAAATTCAGGAAATGCTCCGTTTTCATAAAAAAAGTCATCTAAGAGCACAGTCTCAGATATCATCTGTTGAGATACATCACAAAAGTTCTAAAATCAAACTTTACCGTTCTTAGAAGTATTTTATTCTTGGTATACATTTTTAAAACTTGAGAGAATTTATCTCGAACCCGTGGTGAAGTATGAACGATCGATTCTCAATATTTCCCCTTTTGAAGGTACGGTATAGAATCGATTATTGAGGTGCTCGTTGCAAACACCCTGTTTATCGATCCTTTTCCACTGGTTTCAATAGCAGTTCAATCGATATATCGCAAAGCACGCCACGCCGCTGTCTTGAACTCGTGAAAACGTCACCTTTTCCACGACGCCCATGTAATTGATTGCCGTGCGAAACTACAAAAGTGAGGAGAGTAATAAAAAATGCGAGATTGCAGGAATAATTGAACTCCGGGAACAAAAGTTCGCAGCGTGAGCAACTACAGCAATTTTTATGTTTTCTAGTCGGTGGAGCAAGCGGAATTTTTTATGACGCACGCTCGTTGGAATCCTGAGGGGCTCGGGCCGCAGTCGAGGAGAGAAACCCGGCTCGTCATTCGTCATTAACCTCTGAAGCAGTGGCGCGGTGTGAATTGCGATATATCGATTGTTATGCCATTTAAATCTACGGCAAAGGATCGATAAACAGGGTGTTCACAGCGAACACCTTAATAATCGATTCTTTACCATAGGTTTAAATGGCATAACAATCGATACATCGCAATTCGCGCCTCCAGAGGATCGTGACACCCGCATGCCTTCCACCCACTCACTAGACTCCTCCACGAATCACCGTCCACCCATCAACTGGACCCAAGTACTGCCGTGATAGCGAAGAGAGCCGTAAGTGCAAAAATGAAGTTCTGAGGAAACGGGCTCAGAAGCTTCGGAGTGGAACATTTTATTGAAAGAAGCCTCCGTTCTTTGTCAAATTGCCACTATTCGTCCGGAAGACTCCTAGAAATCATTTGGGGGATCAAAACTCGACCGATTTTATTTTAAAGTACATGAAAAAGGTAAAATTCAGTTTCGTGTTAGGTTATTGTTAGGCAAGACAGCCGTAAGTGCTATCTTCTACATGCTTTCGTGGTTGCGTTTTGGACGCACAACAAACACATTGGCAATTGGCAGAAGAGGGCGGCACTTCACTGGAAAGCACTGTTTTCATTGGCTCTCATGCACCTGCGGCTGTCTTGAAAAAAACTATGTCATTTTTTGTGCACTTACGGCTTTCTCATACGTCTCGTTTTCATTAAATTAGGATGCATTTTGCTGTTTTAGCTGTCTCAGTAATTTCATCTAAAAGAGTTAAGACGAATTTTGAAGAAAACTCGATTTCGAAAATTTTGCACTCACGGCTCTCTTCGCTATCACGGCAGAGTAGCGTTGTTGCCGATCTTCTTGTGAGGTATCGCGTTGTTATGAGCTGCGACCAACTGCTGCTACCAATCGGAAACGCCTTCAGTTTTGTGTGATACTTCCCCGCCCACGTCGAATGGAGCTGATGCATGTGTGAGGAATTTGCGATTTGACTATTGATTCCTATGTAAAAGTTCGCCAGAAACACGAAAATGCCACTGGTTTTCCCTGAAATCAACTCCCAAGCTCTAAGGAAGCTCTCAAAGTTGGGGGCGTAATGGTGGGAATATTCCACGCTATCCCGAGAGTCCTCTTCTACATCAAAACGAACTCTCCATGCAAAGATAGGGAGCAAATACATTGACCGGGCTGCCACTTTATTTTGGGACTCTAAAACTAAAAACACGGCAACCCTTCTAATGTATTTGCTCCCTATCTTTGCGTGGAGAGTTAGCCTTGATGTAGACGTAGACTTTTAGGATAGCGTGGGATATCCCCTCCAATACAGCCTCAACTTTGAGAGCGTTTTTTGAGCTAGGGAGTAGATTTCAGGGAAAACCAGAGGCACTATCGTGTTTCTCACCAACTTTTACGTGAGAAAAAATAGTCAAATTGCAAATTCCTCATACATGCAACATCTCCATTACGTGTAGAGTCCACGCCAAATAAGTTTACGCACTTCTAGACTGCGACAGAAGATCGTCTAACGTCACTTTTAAATGTAAATTAAACGCGAGGAGCAATATTGCGGATTGGCCTCTTGTGCCACAGAGACGGTGATCTCTGCACGGTCCATGAGTTTGCTACTACACCGGAGCTAAATAGCAATCAGTGGCGTCTTTGCGATGTATCAATTTATCTGCGATTTAAATCTATGGGAAAGGGTCGATGAACGAATATTTTAATAATCGATTTTTTACCATAGCTTCAAATTTGGAATCGATCATTCACGCCTCGCCATTGACAGCAAGCAGAAATCTGATTGAGTGGACAACGAACCACAAAGGTTGAATTGCAAAACTCACTGAAACAACGGTAAATACAAGATTTACCATTGTTTCATATGAACTAGCTCATTTAAAAGTACCATGAACGACAATTACGGGAAAATGGACAGAAAATACACCGTATTCTCAGTTCAAATGGTTCCGTTCTTCACTTTAATAAATTGCCTCCTGATATAGAATATTAAAACAGAATAATGGCCTTTTCAGATAGATGTGCATTGAGTGCTCATGATATTTCCTTGGTCTCAATCGGAATTGGTATATAGCGAATGTGTTCACATCCGACGTATCTCTTTCAGTAATATTCCGATTTGAAGAATGCACAGAAATCACACAATGATTAAACTAGCACCATATCGCCCATTGGTCTAGTGGCCCAACAGGGTCACTAGACAAGGTGCAATTTTAAGCAATATGATCTGTATTTTCTTATCAAAATCTTACGTATAACATGATATTTATAAGTTTTTTTTTTTGGCGCGTATACGTAGTATACCGCCTTTGCGATCGTTTCGAACCCTACTCGATACAATAACCGAGTCCCTTAGTTCCTTACCGAAAAGTGACTACCGCGAACTTCTGAGATTTTCCAAAGCGTGTAAAAAGTTTATTTATCCATCAATAATTATGATTTAAAGTTGTTTCTCATTCTGGGGCTCATTAGTTTATGTGCAGTGAATACCAAGAGTCTACGTTACTTGGTTTTTTCAAAAAAAGCCTAAGAATGCGACGCGCTGATTTAAATTATGCATATATAAGCAGAATCAAGCGAATTGATTCGAGGATGGCTGAGCAGGTCGGCACTCTCGAAATGAGAATTTAACTCCTCCGTTTTGTTCAAAACGTTGCTTTGACAGATCTGTAACCTCGGTTATAATTTCCAAAAGTTGGTACCCGTGCTCTGATAGTGCAATCTGTGTAAGTGCAATCTGTGATGAGCCTCGAGACTCAATAGACCATTAGCTAAACGTGGCTCATACAGGAATCCACTTACCCCTCTCTTTCCCACGCTCCTGCTCACTGCGTCGGCGTCTCGACGAACAATAGCTAATGACGGTTGCCAAGCGATGCCGGGATCCTCAGCCCGGATCCAAGTATAAAATTGGTGATGTATTACTTCGCCACTTCGTCGCATTCCTTTCCGATTTCCAACCGTATAGAGTCAATCCACCGTTGAAACAGCAAATGATGAATAGGAGTCACGAGAAACCATGAGTGTCATATGAAAGCGTGCTATAATCGGGTCATGTACTGCGTAAAGCAAGAATTGCACCGTCTGATTACTTTGCTCTCATTGGTTATCCCTTATGTACGTCATGATTGATTGCCTCCGCATTTACCCCATTTTATCGGTTGGTGTGCTCATCTTCTTAGAGTTTGTCTATACTTCTTCGCCGTTGCCTAGTTCCCGATTTCACTGCTATGTCTGTCCGCCATTTTTGCGAGTAGATTCCGAGCTTCGTTTTTCGAGTCCTGTTCTTTTCTTTTGCGTGATTTTCATCGTTTTATTGAAAGTTTCAAGTGTGCATCTGTCTTCCTGCACATCCAGCAACATCCACGGTAAGATTATTTTATATTTACTGCTGTATTTATCATCCACAGTTCGTCTTATACATGGCTCTTTGTCTACAAGGGAATTCAGCCCACTATGGCATCAGAGTAGTGCTATTGCATCAATAAGTGAACATGTGATTCTCATTACCTTCAATCCACCGGGCAATATCACCTTGAATGAAGAATCAAAATTTTTCATCATCTTATTTATTTAATGTGACAATTAGACCAAAGTCCCGTAACCCCTTCTTGGAAGGAAGCCCATTTGGTTCACGTCACTAATTACTGAACATATCAATATTGGGGCTATTTTCAATCTAAGTGATGGATCATGCTGTATACTTTGGAAATTTTGATACAAGTTTCTATCATGGGGTTAAGTGAAACTTATTCGAAACATACATGTCAGTACTAGGTTTGTATATCAATTATACCACAGTAAACAACCAGACTTGATCAATACCATTGTTGAGGTATCGTTTTAGATGCATTGTTAATCTCAGCCGACTTAAAAGTACGAAATTGCATGATGCCATCATGAGTATGACAAAAAAGTAGACATCCAGCCGCTATTCCAGCAATTGCGTTGTTGCGGTTAAGCCAGTTGTGTAGCGATGCCCAGAGCTCACTGGTTCACTGGCCAACTCGTCAGTCTCACAGTTGCTCAGCGCACCATCACATAGTATTGAATCATTGTGACCGTTTAATTTTAATTTCATCTATTCAATAATTTTCTTAAGTAAGACATATGAATTGATTCTTCCAAAACCTTTGATGATTTTCCAAATAAAACTCCTCCTGCATTATTTGTTATCGGCAGCATGTAGGTAATATAATGGATGGCATTTAACATTGTATTTTTCAATCCTCTATCAACAAGCCATAAGTTTTTCTTCATATCTAATTTTTCCCCAATGCTTTGAAGATGAGAATTAAATTTTTTTTTGTGAAATGCTTATCTTAGCTAAATAATTTTTTTGCAGATGGTTCGTAAAGTAGCGCCAAGAAAAAGAAAAAACTTCCAAAGCGAGAAAAATACTCCGCAGCGCAAGGTGCTTAAACTTCAACATGACGAAGCAGAAAACCCTTTAAACGTGAGTACTATGATTTTGTCATGGGAACGGAGTTCCCCATGATATTACAATCGTTCCGTTGCTTTCGCTATGGGATTCCCTATACCTCTGCGACCTTGAGCGTTTCGCCCAGTCTCCGATTTTTGGTTGATTTTCCGATGTATCAAAAACCGTTGTATTTTTTAGCCAATCATGTCTCTACGTCAAGTTGTGTTGATTCCTAAAATTCGCTTTCAGCGAGTTTTTTTCCACCTCGAGATGTCGTGTCTGACTGGTAAATCTGCGCAGAACCACGAAGTTCCGTTTTTAGGCAAATTCTTTTTTTTGGGAGGTTCTGATTGGTTATTTTTCGCCATCAGTCTTCTGTTCGTTGGTGCAAAAGATCGCCTACCTCGTTGCTCTTGAGAAGCCGCCATTATCCCACCTCAAATTTTAAACATAGATATGTCACTTTTGCAACTCTGCTGCATTCAATCCTTTCAAAATTAATTCTGCATTCAATAATTCATGAAAATTTAGTCAAGATACTTTCTAAATTGCATCTGAGCAATATTGAGAGTGTAAAATCACATCTCACCTATCTGCCTACTATGTTATCATTTACATTATAATAATCATTATTTGCCGTCGTAATCTGTATTTTTCTTTTATAATCATATTTCCAGAAGATACTGATATTGACGATGTCATCTCCGAAGTTGATGAACAAGATAACAATAAGAAGAGTACCTGGCATTTTAACGGTAAGAAAAAATTTAAATGCGAATACAATATACACTTGTAAGTTGATGGTGTAACTGCAGCAATACATATCTCCATTTGCAGCGTTGCAGAATTCCTGGCACATTTTATTTTCTACTTCGAAAACTACTGAACATCATGGTTTCAAAATTTCAATGATTTTCCTTTTTTCTATGAAGAATATTCTATGAAATCTTCAAGCCATGATGTTGGTTTTGTCTCCTTTTAAAATATGAAATTTTTGCAGAAATTTTGAAACACTGAAACCAAAATACGCATATTTACAGTTTCACAGTCAAAATATTACTTTTTTAAAATATAACATACAATATTCTTTTTGCTTCAAGAGAAATAGATTAATGTAAAATATGAATCAACTGTGGTTATGCATAACTGTGCATCGCTGATGTGCTTGTCTAGATCATTTAATTATTTGTACCTTAACACAAATTAAGAGGATGTGTTCAATGATTAAGCCTCCTTTTCCAAACCAATGAAAATATGCCTGACCAAAAATAATCCACCCTCAAAATATTTTCTCCACTATTCTGCCGTGCTAAGGAAAAACGCCATATGAACCTCCAGACATTGCCAAATCTCCTTCGACAAATCACTAAATTTCAAGGCAGTTTGTAAATATTTTTCTTTCAATTTCTCAAGTATTTTTGCTTGCAATATCATCATAAAAGTCTGCAAATTTCTAGAAAAAATATTGATAATTATCGTCAAAAATAAACATTTTATTGGAGGAAATTAGGCAACTCCCTAATGTTCATACAACATTCTTCCTTGGCATGGCAGTATCGTCTATCCTGGTTACCTCCTTTTTGGTTTCATTCATGTTCAATATCATACGAATAGTAATTACGTGTCTTATCACTGATGGACAGAAACAGGCTCAAAGAAATCATGAAATGTATGTACTATTCTTAAATAACATGCTCTCTCCTCTGTTTCTCTATAATTATTGAAGAGTTAAAATATCAGCAAGTATCATGGGTTTTTATTCCTGTAATGACATTTCTTTCCTATTGATTTCTATATCTTCATTTTTTCATGTAACTATTTTCAAAATTCATTTCTTATTTTATATTGTACATTATGTTTCATAAACATTAGATGAGTCTGCAGTAGACGTAAACATGCCGATCACACAAATTAACACAGACAAAAATCAAAAGCCTATAATTGGTAAAGTAGTCTCGCTTACCAGTCTTGCTTCCTATAAAAGCCCCCAGAAAAATGGACTAATAATTAAGTCCATCCTTCAAGATATGTCTGGCCAAATGGGCCTGTTGCAAACTTTTGCTAGAGCAAAACTAAGAGTTGTTTCTTACAGATAATGCCTCCAAAATCACGATAAGCGCATCGGTAAAGTCTGAAATGCACTCACAACTTCACAATCTGCCTAAGAAATTTGCGGTTTTTTGAGCTTCCCGCTTCGAAAACGATACTACGGTACAGGTGAACATTTTGTTAGAGGAGCCGTTCCATTGGCGGCAATACTCATCATGGCCGACGCCAGTCCGCCAAAACACGTGTGATGGGACGAGATAACATCTGAACAGGATTAAATCAGATAACAATCGGCGTGTTTACGTTTATATTTTCCTCGCCCGCCTTAATTGATCTTGAACTCTCCTCGAATTACTCGCGGAACTGCGCAAGCGTCGGCCATGATGAATATTGCCGACGATGGAGGGACTCATCTAACAAAATGTTCACCTGTGCAGTAGTATCGTTTTTGAAGCGGGAAGCTCAAAATAACGCAAATTTCTTACGCAGATTGTGAATTTATGAGTGCATTTCAGACTTTGCCGATGCGCTCATCGTGATTTTTGAGGCATTATCTATAGGAAACAACTCTTCATTCTGCTCTAGCAAAAGTTTGCAACAGGCCCATTCTGTTAACAGGATTCAATGAACAAGCTGAAAAATTAGCCTCAATTTTAGAATTGAATGAAAGTTATCAAATATCGAAGGCAATAGTAAAGCCTGCTGCACCACTCTTTAATAAAACAAGTCATCCCTATGAATTAATTGCGTCCCAGAAAACACAAATCGAACGAGTCAGCAAAAACAAGGTCAATTTGCCTGATGTCACTCACAATTTTGCTGCATTTGAAGACATTAATAATAACTTGATTCCCCAAAATACTATTGTTCATGTCGAAGGCACTGTTACTGAAGTATTTTCTGCTTCCTCCGGCATAAATACATATCAGAAACCATATGAACGCAGAGCAGTAACACTTACAGATTATGCTGATAATAAACTTAATCTTATTTTATGGAACGCCAATGTTAATATAATTCAGAAAGAGCATATTGGCCGCAGAGTCAAAATATTTGACACGAAAATTTCCTTATTTCAAGAAGCTGTCTATGTAAATGCATCCAACTCTAGAATGGAAATAGATTATTAATGACACACTTCTCCAATTTTTATCAGTACAAATTCTTAACTTCATAACAAATTGATAACTTGTAAATTTTACAAATATTTATTAAAATTTATATCTTTTAAATTTTTCATTCAGTATTCTTTTATAAATAAACAATGTATCATTTTCTCATATATGTCCAGTTTTTATGTAGTCTATAAATATAATGTTAATAAAATCGTCTCATTTTTACAATAACTGCGTACACATTTGTTTTAGATCACAAACCTGAGTGCCTTAGAGATATGACAGGATTTTTTGGCTCCTTTATTGTGACAAGTGTGCAACATCCAAGGTACGAAT